AACCATCAATTTAGTTTGTGAAGAATGGTTCCCAATTCTGATAGGAATTCTCAGATTTCAGCCTGTTTTTCTCTCGTCATTACTTTCCAATGTCTTAAAAAAAAAACCACATTTCTCATTTTATCTTTTACCACAAGAACCTGGTCACACTCTGCTGTGGTTTCTAAGTTACAGCTACTCTAGCCTTATTTTCTTGGATGTACTTCTTCAGAGGTCCTGACCCAGTGCTGACACTTGGTCTATTCTTAGAGTGGCACCTCTAAATATTAATTCCTTTTACCTTCCCCTGGTTGAAGGACAACATTCAGAGGTAGAGGTTACATACAACATGAAAGAAAATCCTCTGGGATTTAGTATCCTTCTTTCAAGACTGTCCAGAGGAATATGATCTAAAGAGCTCACAGTCTGCAGACACACACACACACACACACACACACACACACACCACACACACACACACACTCACAGTACAGCCTAGCTACTTATGTTTTACAGTTTATCCAGATTTGCTGGAACAACCATGGATTTGCTGGAAAACATCAACAACAAAGGAGTGACAACACAGGTGAGAGGGCAAGCTGACCATAGATGAAAATCAGCCAAAAAGCCTTCCAAAAACAATTTTGCAGAGTACTTTTACATTGTTTAAAGGGAGGTCACCCACCATTAAACGTATAAAAAATCTCAGTATATGAACTTGAAACTGAGAGATGCAAGGTGTACAGTTAACACATTTTTGAACAATCATGGTTCCTATTGTTTAGAGACCACTCCAATTGTATCCCCCCTCAAAATCCAATACTTACCATTTAAATGACAATAAACTAAGGTCACCAGACAAAGCTCTGTGATAAACTTTGTGAAGTCGAGTTCATAGGGGAAATTTCAAAGAATTTAAAAATTACAGCTAGAAGAGACCTCAAAATATTATCTGGTTAGGCCTCCAGCAACACTGGGCATTACAGTGACTTGGAGGCAGTAGAGACTAGTGGTCTCTGTAATACTGCAGACAAAGCTTGATTTCTAACTCTGCCACTTATTAGTTTGTGAACTTAAGGAAGCTGTTTTAATCTTCTGGAGCCTCAGTTTCCTTATCTATAAAATAAAGATAATAATAGCATCTACTTCAAAGAATTATAGTTGCTGAAATATAGTCTGAGTCTAATAAAACATTGTTTATTATAAGATATAATTATTACATTATTATTTTTATTAGCATGTAAGACTTTATTATATCCATTTCACAGATGAGGCAACTGAAGCCCAGAAAGTTTCAAAAATTTACCCAAGATTACAGAGTGATGACTTATAAGAATAAGGAGCTCTTCTTCCCAGGGCAGAGGTCTTTCACTTCATTGTGCTTCTATAAATCAATAGGAAACTGAGGCCTAAGAAAGAAGGATTCTCACGAGACAAATTAAATTCACAATCAAAGTAAAATCAGGAGATTCTACCATTCAGGTCTCCTTGTCTACCAAATACTGCTTCCCATTCAATCATACATCGGCATCTTTGAAGTCTTTTTTTAAAGGATTTTTGAGCTTTGATGCTAGTTCACTCCTTGAAATAACTTGCCTCAGGCCAATATGGTGTCTTAGAGTTATAGAAGTGTCAGGTATGTGCCATTTACATACATTATGTAAGTTTTAGTTTCCTGAGGACAAGAAACAGCTCACTTGGCAACGAGATTTCTATCAGTACTGTGAAAAATAAGTTTGTTTCAACAGTGTAATAGTAGATAAAAAAGCTATAGCCAACAGCATTCAACAGCGTTCGGAAACAGCTATAAGACTTACTAGAGTACAGTATCAGTTACATAGACCAGTGGGTTCACTTTTGGACTGCCACATACATGGTATACAGCTTCCCAAATGGCAGGATATAGAGCTTTATCAACAAGATTCAACAAAAATAGAGAGAGAAAACAAGAGATAGTCCTTATCAGTAATAAGATCAAGAATAAGAGTAGATAGAATGCAATAACCTAAGATATAGATGTAGCTGTAGATTGAACAAACATTTACCGAGCATCTATTAAAAACTAAGCATGTTGCCAGACATTGGGAATATAAAGATGAAGAAGAAATGATGCCCACCCTCAACAAACCAGCGTAATAAGGAAAAGACTTATAAAAGAGATGGGGGAGGGGAAATAGAGTAAAGTGAAAAAGCCAGGAAGAAGCATTGTCCCCAGAAGAATCATATTTCACTTGGCAAGGAGCCTCAAGGGTGCTGGTACAGCTTAAGTGGCCTAGAAACTTGACCCCTAGGCGTGTCAGTTCTGTAAGAGCAAGCAAGGCTATTCAATCTTGGTCTTTATTCCCTGCCCGCCTTATTTGCTTCATCTATACCATGAGAACAAGTAAGATTCCTTCACCTTCCTTTAGAAGACTGGGAGAAGAGAAGGGACCAGCTCTGATCCTGGAAAGCTTGTTTTTCCCAGCAACTTGAAATTCTAATCCATAAGAAATCTATATTTTATTTGCAAGACTTATAGCTCAGCAAAAGAGCCAGGGAGAGCCAAGAATTCCCCTAACAGCAACCCAAGTTTAGGCCATTAGAAGAGATGTCTGATCTTCAAGGAACCCCTGGAGAATAGAAAGGGAAAAAAAAAAGAAAGACTATTTTTAAGGAGGATGAAATTCAGTTAATGATTCACCTTAAATAGAAGCCTATAAGGGGCTATTCCTCCTATTTTAGAATGCTTCCAATAAACCAGAAAAAAAGGAATGAGAATACAAATGATTATATAAACATGTGATGGCATTCTGGCAATAAAAATAATGTTTTGTATTTCTTTAGCACATCCTTTCATGAAGACTAAGGTGTTTTAAATTGATTATCTCATTCAGCCTAACAACAGTTCTGTGATATCAAAAAGAAAGAAATAGGTAAGGAGGATTAAGAGGTACATACTTTCAATTGCAAAAGATGAGGTATGAGATGAGTTATGGGTATGAAATGCAGGGGAAATATAGTCAATGACTATGTAGTATCTTTGCATGGTGACATATCTTAGCTAGACTCACTGTGGTGATCAGTTTGAAATGTACAGAAATCATTAGGTTGTGTAACAGGAACATAGTGTTGTAGGTCAATTAAAACTCAAAAACAAACAAATGCTTAGAAAAAAGAGATCAAACTTATGTTAATCAGAGCAGGAGGGCAAATGGGGGAATTGGATCGAGGCAGTCAAAAGTTACAAACTTCCAGTTATGAGATAAATAAGTACTAGAGATGTAATAATGTACAACATGATAAATATAGTTAACACAGCTGTCTGTTATATATGAAAGTTGTTAAAAGAGTAAATCTTTTTTTTAACATTTTTTATTGATTTATAATCATTTTACAATGTTGTGTCAAATTCCAGTGTTCGGCACAATTTTTCAGTCATTCATGGACATATACACACTCATTGTCACATTTTTTTCTCTGTGATTTATCATAACATTTTGTGTATATTTCCCTGTGCTATACAGTGTAATCTTGTTTATCTACTCTACAATTTTGAAATCCCAGTCTATCCCTTCCCACCCTCCACCCCCCTGGTAACCACAACTCTGTATTCTCTGTCCATGAGTCTTTAG